CCAATTCCCTTACCGACATATTGCTGTGCAGTCACGGACATCACTACTGCACTGAAGGCCAATATGACCAGACACCACGACTTCATATTTTACCCTATGCAGTTTTCTGCTCAGAACTCCGACAGACGGACGGCACCCTATGAACATGGATTGCACAGACACAGACATACGCACACTTGAGAGTAAACAAAAGCGTTTCCGCTGTAACTCTGAGTTCCACGGTTTTAGCCGATCATCAGACAGCAAATCCTTCCGAGTTTGACATACACATACATGTAATCATGCAAACACTGTTCTGAACTTGCTCACTGCCAAAATTGTACACGTAGGTCTCCGCAGGAGAGGAGTCATGGGAATCTTAGAAGGACGACTCAACTGCATCTTGAATCGCGCAATGGCTGACAACCCCTGAATCCCCAAACTCCAGGTGGACTTGAAAATGATCTCACTTATAGGCTCGCCACACCCCAGTAAGTGGGTGAACACAAGGTGCAGAAAAAAGATTGTCGGCATCTGGAGGGTAGCTGTTGAGAAACCACAAGTTCTCGAGAGTGAAAGGCCTTCTCGCTTGTGACATTGTGTTCGTTTCGATACAGTTGTATCCCGACTCCGCCGTACCGCTGATGTTTACGACGTGGCATACGCTACAGGCGCTATGTGCGGTTTTCTGTGTGCGCTGTAGTTGTATGTTGTATGTGTATGCTTTTCTCATATACGCTGTCATTTTCACGCTACAACTGCCTGGTGGTTTTAGTGTTAGTTATTCATTCATTAATAAATAAGATAAATTGTGCACTCATAACAACAGCAAAAATGAAGAAAGTCAAGTTCCATAACGTTTTCTTGTGACTGTTATCAGTGGAACGCCGTCACATAAAAATGTGATAACTAAAACACACACTTATATATGTAGAAGAGAAAAGGACATATGGATACGAGTTAAGAGTAACTCTGCATCACTGTAACATGATACTTTATACAGTCAGAAAGTGCAATAACTAGGCACAAAACTGACAGAGTACTGAAACATTCGACGTCCTGACACCTAGCTTCAACACATCTCCGTATCTCCGTATTTATGGCTCAACATCCGAGTTACACTTATATATATTATTATTATTATTATTAAAAGCATGTCCGCGTAGGTGGCGGGGGTGCCACTTTCGCTTATGCCATTCAGGATTGATGTCTGAAGAGTAATACGATACAATAAAATGACAGAAGCTTATATACATGTAGCTAATATGGTTTGAGGTAGAAATACAGCAGCTAACAAGTACAAAAAGCGAAGTTTGCACCTTTGCAATGTGTGAATATAGTGTAGTCTTCAAGTAATACACACGCACCGTTACATTCATTCAAACAGTATCACATTCATCTGCCACTACCTTTCTCACATACACTATATTCACACATTGCAAAGGTGCAAACTTCGCTTTTTGTACTTGTTAGCTGCTGTATTTCTACCTGAAACCATAATATGGTTTCAGGTAGAAATACAGCAGTATTAGCTACATGTATATAAGTGTGTGTTTTAGTTATTACATTTTTATGTGACGGCGTTCCACTGATGACAGTCACAAGAAAACGTTATGGAACTTGACTTTCTTCATTTTGCTGTTGTTATGAGTGCACAATTTATCTTATTTATTGCCCTTTTGCGACTATTGTCTTCTCATCGATTGTTTATTCATTCATTGTTCATTATTGTTAATAAGTCGATCGAAGTCAATATACTGTTGAGAATAAATAGTTGTCCTCGTGCCGTGTGGGGTCGTTCGTTCCTGAGAGAACCAGAGGGTTCACAACATTTGGCGACCACGCCAGGATACGAAGCGAGTATGGCACAGGAACTACAAATCATTGAAGCCCGCTTTATCGCCAATGGAATTCTGTTAGGATTGGAAGGCGAGGAGTTGAGGGAACATGTGAAGAAGAGGCTCCGACAGTGTGAGGAGTTTGAAGAGCGCAGTGCTAGACGGCAAGAGGGTGCGCTCCGCACAGAGCTCAAGAAGATGAACGAGCGCATCGCCGTCAGTACATATGAGGAAGCAAAGTGAGATTTGCTTGCCTCGCTCGGAAGGACGCCGGACAAGGCGTGGAAGACTTTGCTCACAGACAAGCAGCGGTCAGAGGAGTAAGTAAAGCCAGTGGGAGGATCAGATCCAAGGCCCACTGCGTCCGTGCAGTGCATGGCGACATCGGTCGGCGACGCTCAGAAGCAGCTGGAGTCTCGGCCGAAGGACGTAGAGGCGCAAGACATAGAGGCCCAAGACGTAGAGGCGCAAGACGTAGAGGCGCAAGACGTAGAGGCGCAAGACGTAGAGGCGCAAAACGTAGAGGCGCGAGACGTAGAGGCGCAAGACGTAGAGGCGCAAGACGTAGAGGCGCAAGACGTAGAGGCGCAAGACGTAGAGGCGCAAGACGTAGAGGCGCAAGGCGTAGAGGCGCAAGGCGTAGAGGCGCAAGGCATAGAGGCGCAAGACGTAGAAGCGCAAGACGTAGAGGCACAAGACATAGAGGCGCAAGACATAGAAGCGCAAGACGTAGAAGCGCAAGGCGTAGAAGCTAGGGAAATGAGAAGGGCGATACTGGTTAGAACGGAAGAGGTCAACGGCGAGACTGTGTGGAACACAGAGATCGGATGTGTGTTCTCGGGATCCGAGCCCGCCCCGGGTCGAAGTAGTGTACCGGCGACCGTGTCGTGTGTGACAGCCCACATCGGCGAGCTTGGTGAAATTATCGGTTCTGTGTTGTCTGGTCCAGCGTCCGCCCCATGTCGAAGTGGATCGGTGACAGTGTCGTGTGCGACAGCCCACAGCGGCAAGCTTCGCGAAATCGAGTTGGCGAAGTGGTGGGCATTAGTGATATTCTACCATGGCCACCACCGCAGCAGCAGATGACGCGTAGTAAGCGCCAAATCGTTTGACTTGTGAGTAGTTGTTTGGCGGTGAGAAGCCCTTTGGTGGGGAGAATGTTGAGAAACCACAAGTTCTCGAGAGTGAAAGGCCTTCTCGCTTGTGACATTGGGTTCGTTTCGATGCAGTTGCATCCTGACTCCGCCGTACCGCTGTTGTTTACGATGTGGCATACGCTACAGGCGCTATGTGCGGTTTGCTGTGTGCGCTGTAGTTGTATGTTGTATGTGTATGCTTTTCTCATATACGCTGTCATTTTCACGCTATAACTACCTGGTGGTTTTATTGTTAGTTATTCATTCATTGTTCATTATTGTTAATTAGTCGATCGAAGTCAATATACTGTTGAGAATAAATAGTTGTCCTCGTGCCGTGTGGGGTCGTTCGTTCCTGACACTTTAGAGAACCAGAGGGTTCACAACAGTAGTGGTCCCGGAAAACAACTGTTGTTACCCCTGCCCCCACTGAAGGTAATGCTTGCTACGAGTGTGGGTGGATAAATCAGAGGGGACACCCACCTACCATCTACCATCTACCATGTATACACCAGTCGCAAGAGAAGCACGCAAATCTCCAAATGCACTAGATGTGCACCTACAGAGCAACGATAGCGAACAAGATCTGAATGAGACAGATCAAGACTTGCGCCAGATAACTGTCTATTCAACACAACTGGCTAAACGTTGTGAAACGCCCACCAGTGCACATTTGGTCTACACCACTTGGAGTTCATCGGCATAAAACGGCCAGGACAGTTACCTATGCACACACTACACTTGCTGAGACATACACACCCAAATACACATGTACAAGGCTCACCCTGACCTCACACTTAACCGCGCACACCTCACCCCCCCCCCCCCCCACACACACACGCATACAAGCCTCACCCTCACCGGCAGTCCCCCCCCCCCCCCCCCCGCCCCCACACAAACACCCACCCACCCCCACACACATGCACAAAATAATACACACGAGCTCACGCCAATGAACAATAGATGACTTGCACAAAGATCCGAGCCGCGAGTGAGACGGGGCAAGTGCACCCTGTGCACCCAGGCTACACTGCGGGCACCCTACATCGTCTGCAGTGTACTTATTTGTCAGCGTGAATGAACGGTGCACGGCACTGTCTTCAGCAGCTCATGAGTCATGCATGTGCACATGTAGGGTTAATGGAAGTACATGAGTGTATAATTATGTGAAGAGAAGCCAGGCGTCCAAACCAACCCAAAATACCCTTGCCCTATTCTTCGGTGAAATAGTTATAAAAAATTAAGTTGTCTTACCAAACAACAGTGAGCATAGAAGCAACCTCGATGCACCCAATAATATGGCATCTGGGAGCAGCAAGTGTTGCACGAGAATCCCAAGAACACGTCAAGTTCCATGCTACCCGCCGCCATCAAAAGAAAGAAGGATAACTATGCTAGCCTAGTTCATATTCAATGCAACGCTAACGGTACGGGATATAGGAGCCTGTTGGGAAGGCGTGGGTGAGCTGTAAAATCTTGTACGGTTCGCACAGCACAACATACAAGCAGCAGTTATTGCGACGGTTAACGTCGATGGACGAGAGTCATAAAGCACAGTCCATGGGGGTTGACGTTTCTGGGCTTCCTTTCCGAAAGGAAAGTTTTATTCCCGTAGCTATGCAGAAGACGTTACTTCAGTAACGTCTGACGCTAGCCAGGGTCCACACAGCTTTAATTAGGTATTTGTGTGTTTGTTTGTTTGTGTCACGCCTGGCACTATCCCGTATCTGTCCCGTACCGTACCGTACCATCAAACACAGCTGGCCATATACTGCTGGCCGCAATATTCAAATAGGGCTTTCAAACGCAAGATCATAACGTGAAGCAACTTGGAAGAATGGGTATGA